TTGGCTGGTTTCCCTGATCAGCCTCGCCGTCTCCTTCTGGCTGCGGCTTGTCCGGAAAATGCAACAAATTATGATGACGCCTGCCACATACACTACATTTGGAAGGCGAACGACAACCCGAGATCCCATGAGTTTTTCCAAGACAATTAAAACATAAGTGCTCTCGCTTAACAAATCCGAATCTTTCAAATACCTCGGCTTGCAGAAATAACTCGCAGCCAGATAAGGAATGGGCACTCCTTTTACAAAACTTACACACATTCTTCTGCGAAATCGTGGTGCTGAAATTAAGAGATCCCTTGGCTCTATCACTTGTTCCTAGTTTCGCCGATCCCTGCTCCCTGCGTCCCGCAGTACCTACGGATCCAGAGGACAGACAGCTATTCTCTAATGCCTGACAATTTTTCTCTAAAAATGAATAAAGTTCCTCATAAGTGGGAATTTTACTCTGCTTAGGTTCCAATTCGAACAAAGTTTTAAGCGAAGGACTAACCTTTTGAAGCAATAAATTAAATTTTGTAAAATTCCACATATCATAATTAAATTGACCCAAGGCGGCCAGATTCTCAGAAAAAAGTGAAATCAAGTTACGCAACTCATGAGCAGAATCACCTTTTACAACAGGAGCTCTATAAAGGGAATACCAATAATCATTAACCAACACTCTATCATTTTGGTATCTCGCTACAAGGGCATCGTACGCAGTCTTATAATTAGCTTCAGTAATAGGCAAATTTTTAATTACAGTAGCCGCATCTTTTTCTAAATATGAAATCAAAAATTGAAAACGCTCAATGTCAGTCAGCGAACTATTATTATGGATGAGACCTTTATACAAATCGAAAAATGTAGGCCACTTTCTAATATTACCGTCAAATTTCGGAATTTCTATCCTAGGTAATTTTAGAGTGTCACTCTTTTGATTAGCACTTTGATTTACTGCTACCGTCGACACCCCTGCCGCTGCAGCACTCTCTGCTTTAACAGAGGAACTGTCCGCAACAAGGTCGCGATGTATATTTCTTATGGAAAAGCACAACGCTTCAACATGAGCATGAACTTTGTCTTCCATATCAAATTCAGCATCACTACAAAGATTTACGATTTCAAGGTGCAGCTCCTCAAAGGCTGATGGAAGTCGATGGAGGTCCTCAAAAGCTGAACGAAAATCTGCCAAATATTTACTTTTGTTGCCTAATGCCCTTTGACCCATAGCACCCAATCTTTCTAGAGTCTTCATAACAGATTTTCGCTTTCTCTGGAGTCCGTCCATGACGAATAATCTTTCAAAATTCAAAAAAAAAGAAAAAAAGAAACCAATTCGCCAATAAAGAACGAGCCTTTTTTGAAGCGCGGCTAATTATTGGCAATGTTAGCTAAATGAAAAAACTCAAATGCAAAAAAAAATCAAAAAATCCAATAGTGTTAATTTACGGTTCAAAAATTTTTTTTGTTTACGATAAAGGCATCCACCAAATTATGCCGTTATGCTTCAAGGTACACAACGACTAATTATCTTTTGCACGATTCACCACAATATGAATTTTGAAAATTGAAAAAACAATATCACTTATTCAAGCAATGTAATTAGGTAATAAATAATAATCCAAATATTATTTTGACCCAAAAGAAATTTGAAATTTGAACAAAAACAAATAATTTTATATGATCTATTCTCTATTTTGCATTTATTTGAATATCTAAACAAACAATGAAAATAGTTGAAATCTACACCTATCCAGCAAAAAACTAGAAACCCGTATAGTCCCAATAGATTCTTTAACTTTTATACCAAACAAGTTCCAAAACACCAAAAAAAGTCTTGGAATTTACTTGGACTTTATACTCAAGCCGGTGATTGTTGCAACCAGAAACCAAAAATAAGTCATTCCTTATAATTTCAATAATTTTAATATGCACTGTATATCCCAAGGACTTTCCATCTAGGGTCGAAGGATCAAATGTTGAGGACCAGCCTGTTTTAATAGAAACAGGCAAACTTAATTTTTGAAATAAGTTGAAAATAAGAAAAAACGACTCACGATAAAAGATTTAAAAAAATGGGTATTGGTAAGGTCTCACCTCTGTGTCCTGGATTCTAGCTTACCCGGCCGGGGTTTCTTGATGCTCCCAAAAATGAGCTTCCGGATGAAAATTGACTTTTTGCAACTTTGACAGGCTGTGACACCTGAACGGTTAATTTTAGAGAAAAACCGATTTCACATTCCTATCTTAGATTTTTATGAACAATCATTAGACACCAACTTCGAATTTAATCCATGATTAAAAATTCCAATTAAATTTAATCTCCGGGTAAATTCAAAGTTGGTGCCAAATGATAGTTTAAGAAAATCTAAGATAGGAATGTAAAATCGGTTTTTCTCTAAAATTAACCGTTCAGGTGTCACAGCCTGTCAAAGTTGCAAAAAGTCAATTTTCAACTGTCAATATTTCCAAAACAGTTGAACTTAGATATAGGGTATATCAAATAAAATCTGCTCAGAATTTCACGTAGAATCCAAATATGCAATAACATACAGGGTGTTCTATTTAAAATAGCGATGTTGCCACTGGTTTAGAGTAGAAGCGGTAACATCGCATAAACAAAAATATTTTTAAAGTGTAGAACATGGTCGTTTATCCCGGTTGCCAAATTTTCAAAATGATTCGCTTTTTAGTTCTCCATAAACGTCTAATACGCCATCCACTGTGGGACACCCTGTATATAACAGATAAATCCACATGCGATGGCAAAAAAAAATCAAACAAACAATGCAAGTACGCACAACACAACTATGTACCTATGTTAGCTTTTTACAGTCTATTATTTTGTATAATTTGAAAAACAGTTTCTTCTGGATATTATCTTTCCCTGATAAGGCCTTGTGGAATTCCCAAAATGTATGGACTGATTATCGTTATGTTGGATGGTCTGCTGCCAAACTTCTCAGTAAAACTTTGAAATCTTTGAATGATTGGTTCAATTCCAGTTTTTTGATACAACATTTCATTTGATGGATTATGAAGCGGGTTTATAGGATGTCTGATTTTTGTAATTTTACAGTTTCTGCAGTTTCTATTATCTGGATGGCAGGTTCTCTACAAGCACTGAAAATTATTTGTCTGTATTCGAAAATTGGTCTGCATATTGTTGTGTAGATGTGACATGTAGTTTTGATGTTAATACCCTCGTCCTTGTATGTTAGGTTTCTAAAATGCTTGCTATTTGTTATTGTCTTTTTTTTCATTGTTGACAGATGATATTTGAAATTTAATTTATTGTCGAAATGAATACCCAAGTAAATTATTTATTTGATGTGAGATTGAGGGGGTAATTGGTGGTTGAGAATATCTAGTTTTGGTGAAGCGTCGCTGATCTTGTGGGATTTACTTTTAGTTTTCACCTATCTAACCAGACAATCACTCTGTTTAGTGCTATTTGTAGAGATTGAACAGGTTGAGATATATTCTTGTGGTGTGATGTAATAGCGGTATCGTCTGCAAATTGTATGATATATGGACTTGCAACTGTAACCTGGTTTGTTGGAGGGAAGATGTCGTGACAATAAATATTATAGAGCAATGGCGACAGTGATGATCCCTGTGGTGTGGTGATCCCTGGTCATTAGAAAATTGGTATGAAAGGTTTCCATTTATTTTTACCACATTTTGTCGATTGTCCAAGCACTTCTTAACAAGCCATATCAGATATCTTGGATATTGTAATTGGTAGAGTTTAAACAGGATACCTCTATGCCAAACTGTATCAAAAGCCTTTTTAATATCTAAAAACTCATTTTCCAATAATTTCTTGTTCTTCATGTAAAAACTCCCCCAGCTTCTGATTTACAACATCAATGTTACATTTTTGTAAGTTATATTTTGTTTCTTCTATGTAGTTATCTTCTGGAGGTATTGTAGCATCCAGAGTCCATAGTATACTGAGATGATCACTTCCTAGGTCTGATGTTAATAAAATATTAATTTTTTTCTTAATATTTTGAGTACATAATATTATATCAGGTGTGCTGCTTGGGTTGTTCGTCATGTTGAATGTAGATGGTGTGTTGTATAGTGCGGCTTTTGTAAATATGGTTTCTGTGATTTTCGTTTAAATTGGTGACGTAAGTTTCGATTATGTGCTCATGGATTGTCAAAGGTTGGTGAATGCGACTTTTTTTTGCTTGCTTGTTGATTTTATTTAGAGTTTGTCTTCGTACTTGGAATTCCCTCGATGGGTTAAGAGGTCTTTTTGGACAATTCGTTGACCATGCCTGGTGTTCTTCAAAATTACATGCAGCACATTTTTCTGGTAATGATGTGATGCAGGAATTTGTGTGGTGTTTATGGGATTTGGGCACTAGTCTGTAGTATGCGTGAACTGTGAACACTTTCCACGTGGAACTGGTAGAGGCTCTAGCGCTTTACTAGGAAAAACTGGATATATGTTATTATATTTATATGGAAAACCGTAGTTAAGAAGTTTTTCAAATGAGTTTAAATCGCCCATAATAATTCTTATTAACGTAATCCAATTGCTGGTAGCTTGCAACTTTATTCGTTTGCAAAAACGGTGTATTATTCTTTCATTGGTTAGGTGTTGACTAATTTCTTCATCTGGAATATCGCTCTCAACAGAAGCAATGACACAGGAATATGTTGCAGTGAATGTATTGTTCGCCCGTTTCATATTACCTTAAGTTTTCTTAAAAGTCATTAGTACTCTGGATTGGACTATATTTTCCATACAGAGAGAAGAAAAAAAACTTTTTTGTTGTACAAAAATATTCCGATATTTACGCTTTGAATTCTCGTAGTGTACTGGTACATATAGTTTTTTCACAAAAATGCATAAGTATTATCTATTCACAATCCAGGTAAAGGTAAAATTTACCACCTTTCAGTGCTATTTGATAGGGAAAGGTAATAAATTTACCTTTACCTTTGGATTACGGATTGTGCTTATGATATAACCACAAATATTATTATTGAAAATCTAGATCCCACCAATTCAACAAAAACGAATCATCGCCTTCGTGAATCATTTCGTCACAAACACAGTCTCCTACCTGAACACTTTCAGTCAATCCTGCGAATCTCGATTTATGGACTTTGAATATAAAATACAAAAAATCGAAGCCTCCTTGCTGATATTAGAAGCGCAGGTAATCAAAATTTGCTGCAATCAATGGAAAAATTCTTCAAAATTATTAATAATTGTAGTTGGCTTCGATACCAGGATTCGAACCTGTAGTAGTTGTAGAAAATGAACCAAAACATGAATCAATAATTGAGCAACCTATGGAATTGCCGGAAGTTACAGAAACAGATCAATTGGAGGAATTAAATGAATCAAATACTATAAATGGTATAAAAGCAATTGATGATCCAAGATTTGCAACATTTTTTAGAATGGTTCGAGTTGGGGTGAACCAGGAGGCAGTTAAATTGAAAATGAAAAGTGAAGGATTTGATCCGGATGTTCTAGAGTAAGTAATTACAATAATTAATTTAAAATATACTTATAATAATTTTTTGAATTTCTAGTAATCCTGATGCCATTATACCACAATAATGCAAAATAGGATTAATTTATAATAAGTTTTGTATTAAAAAAAAAAACAATTTTATTGGTTTTCTTCTTGAAGCTCTTTCTCTCTCTTTTCAGATCAATTTACTGCTACTTCATTGTTTTATGAAGCATTTTAACATTTTTATCTGGTAAAATTTATTCAAGGGGGCAATATTTTTGAAGAATTTCTAGCGACAATAAAAACCCCTTAACCCTTTTCACGTGGCTCTGGTTTAACAAACCGCAACATACCGCTCAAATTCGAGTGGTACGTATCCATCACGTCACTTTGTAACCGGGTTAGAAAACGGTATGTCATTTCTCTAACCGTTTTGTAACCCGGTTAGTTAAACCCGAGCCACGTGAAAAGAACTCTTAGGTTGGTGTTAACTCATCTATTAAGGAGAAAAAAACAATAAAGCAATATTTTAATTGAAAAACTCCTCGACTTCTTGCAACTCCCTCTCTCTGGCTTGTTCGTGAGCCCACCTGGCCTCTGCCGTTCTGTCACTTATCGACCACTTAAAGTGGGCCAATTTTTTGCCGCATTTGCCGCACTTTTTATTACCAAACGGCGGCTGTTTCATGAGGCTCAAAAGACATCCTTGATGGAACAAATGACCGCAATACACTCTTTCGATGTGATTCGGAGAGGTTTCGTCTCTTTCCAAAAGCTAAAAAAAAAAAGTTTAACTATAGTTTATTTTTCAATGATTGGGCACGATAAATGGAATCCCTTATAACAGAATGACCTAACACTTTCATTAGCCTTATTCCTACAGACATACAGAATTTCTATAAAGTTTTCCCGAGAAACCCCATCCAAAAGGCTTGAAAAATTCCCTCGCCAAACAATGGGTTTTCGGGTTTCATAACTAAGGCATATTTTTGTAAATTATACCACCCATAGACGCAGGTACAAAATTTTAACAATTATATTTTCTTGCTATGTAGGCACCCCAATGAAGCAACTTTAGTAAATAAATACATTCTCTAACACATTTAAGTGTACTCTGTAATTAAAAAAAACATAGTATAATAAGGACTTTACCTGTTGTTCTTGTGGAAAACAAGGCTTTTTACAAAACTGGCAATCTTCAGCTGGAAGCCTTTTGACGCAATCTATCAGAAACATTAGGGTTTTTTCCAGAGATGGTCCTGGCACGAAGGGCGGGTCTTTGGGTTTCTTTTTCAAAGGCGGTTCCACACATTTTCTAGCTATTTCTTTAGCTTGGGCCACCATGTGCTTGTAAAACGTCGGAGTGAAGTTCGTGTCCACATTTTGCAACCTGAAAGTGAAATATTTAGAATGCAAACGTTGATAATTCAAAAAGAAAAATAATCAAAAATGCAAAATATCAATTAGGGACAGATATGGCTCTACTTTCGGCAAACTATTGGTTAACTATGTAACGTAACGTTAAGCCAAGCCAAATTTTCAATTTTCAGTTTTTATTCCAGGTGTAAGAAATATTACAATATAAAATATAAAATATATATCCTGCATGAGGCGCACATGCGTCTGTGAGCAGGCCTGGTACCTAAACTAAAGTTACCCTAAAAACTAAAATTATTTAAAAATGCTTACTTAAACTACAAGTTTTATAATATTTCATAAATTATTAATAATTAATGTGAAAGTGTAATAAGGTAAAAAATTTGCAAATTTTACAAATGGGTGATGTTTTCATTTATTAAAAATTCTTTTATATGTTTAAATCTGTTATTAATTGTATTACTTTTTTTTAGATTGTTTGGTAATAAATTGAAGAGTTTAATAGCATTTACTTCGGATGACTTTTTACCCACCTCCAATAGTGTTTGTATGCATGGAATATTTCGGTATCTGGTGTTTGTTTGTCTACATAAATATTGAATTTTCAAGGAGTCATAATTTGCAATTAATGATTTATAATAGTAGTTTTGTTTAATTGTCAAAATCATCTTATTTTTATAGATTTGGTTTAGGTTCACACTTCTTATCCCAAAAATTATTTTAATTATTCTATTCTGTATATTTTGTACATAGTTTATCACATTGCTATATGCACATCCCCAAGAGACTATACCACATGTAGCCACAGATTCAAATAGGGCATAGTAGATCAGCAGGGTTTTTGTGTCCAATACATGTTTAAGGTTTTTAAAAACAAATAATAAATATCTTATTTTCTTATTTAATCCAATTATTTGTTGCTTCCATTTCATGTTATTGTCCACCACAACACCTAAGTACTTGATGAGTTGAATACATTTTATTGCTTTATTGTTTGAAAGCTTGCAAGTAGTTCCTCGGTGCAATTCATGGAGAAGTAAAAAATTCACCTGATAAGTTGACATGTGGGCTGGATGGAATTCCCGTGCTCTTTATAAAGAAATGCCTGTACACCCTTGCAAAGCCCCTGGCAAATCGCTTCAACCATTCATTGTCGACAGGTTATTACTCAGTTTTGTGGAAGTTCGGAAGTTCAACTTTTTGAAACCCATATTTAATAATGGATCAAGAGAATAGGTCACAAATTACAGGGTTGTTTGCACACAGTTTGAGATTCCTCATGTTGCGGAATTGTCTCATTACCCAGACACTTAGCTGGGACTGTAGGTACCTTTTAAATCCGAAACAGCATGGGTGGGTAGGTCAACATCAACAAATTTATTTATTTATTTATTTATTTACTTATTTCCTACTTGCCAACGAAATCAAATACATGAAAAAGTAACGTCACAAATTTTTTTGTGTTGAGTGCTAAAGCATCCAAACACACATACAAAAATAGGAAGTCAATTATACTAACATCACAAGTTAAAGTTTAAAAAGTAGAAAAACAAAATTTTACACAAAGATAAAAACTAGTAAAAAATTTTTTGCATATACTTATAGATCGTGTTTGGGGAACTACAATATATTTTATCAGATCTTTGAAATTTTGGTCAGAAGGGCTTCTGAAAAGTTCAAACACTACAAAATTGTCTGGACGGGCGATTTTAACATCAATTTTTTAACACAGAATAACTATTTAACAAGAGAAGAAATAAGAAACAGAAACGAAATGCTTGATCTATTTGGAACATATAACTTTCACCAAACAATTTTTGACATAACTAGGCCAAATAAGAACAAAAAATCGTGCATTGACAATATTTTTGTGAATTCACAAAATGTCTGTAATAATTATGTAATAAAAACAGGAATAGGTGATCACCATGCTCAGACAGTATCAATAAATATAAGCAGCAGTTGTAAATTAAAAGAGTCTTACTTTACAGGCAGAACATTTTCTATTAATAAACTCACTCAATATCAAGAGGCAATTCAAGATTGTACATGGGCGGGGGTATTTAGGGAAAGAGAGGTAGATGGCGCATACAATTCATTCATCACAACAATAAGTTACTATCTCAACCTAATTTTTCCAAAAAAAAACAAGGAAAAATAAAACAAATAGCAGTCACAACTGGATTACTACAGGCATAAAAACATTCATTAAAAACAAGAGAACAGTATATGAACTCTACCTATCAGGACTTGCAAGTAAAAGCTTTTTTCTACTGACATTTCATAATACGCTATTAAACTATTAAAATCTGTATCAAAATGAACTTTATTACGATACCTACAGATTTTCATTATAATACTCATTTTTAATATTATACAATGTTGATAGATGGCAGCACTAGTTAAGATATTAAACATTTTAAACGGTAATTTTGCATAAAACAATTATTTTGATAACTATAAGAAAGACTCCGAATTGTTTAAAAGTTACCTAAAGTTTGGGACGAAGAATAATTATTATGGAAATAATGAATGATAAAGAAGAATTTTTACTTTTTTCATTATTATACATTGTCAATAGATGGCGCCACCAGTTAAAAAAATTTAATTTTTTTTTTGAGTGTTGGCAGCACTCTGTTTTAAGCTTTTCCATGGTAATTTCGCGAAAAACAATAATTTTATTAAAAAAATTACCTCAAATTGTTATTAAAAGTTAATACCTAAAGTTTGGGAAAAGGCATTATTATGGAAATATTGAGTGATAACGAAGAATTTTCACTAACACCTCCAGAAATTACAGAAAGGGCGACAAATGCAGGTAATAATATACTACCGGACAAAACCAAGAAAATTTACGAAAAATATATGGACAATTTATGCATTGGAAACACCAAAAACACATCGTCCTTCTCAGAAAATGTTTTGATAATATATTTTGAAGAATTACAACAAAAAATTAAACCTTCAACTGTGTGGATTTACTCAATTATAAAAAAATCTCTATTCAAAATTAAGCATAATGTTGACATATCTAAATATCATAAGTTTTATCACTGGCAGTAGAAAAAATAGTGTATGCAACTCTCATGTAATGGCCATTAATACACTCGCATGTTATATACGAAACTCGCCTGCGGCTCGTTTCGTATCCTACAACATGCTCGTGTATTAATGGCTATCCGAGTGGCTATCATTACATGATTATTGCATAATATACTATTTTCTACTGACATTTCATAATACGCTATTAAACGATTAAAATCTGTATCATAATGAACTTCATTATGATACAGATTTTCATTATAATACTGATTTTTAATATTATACCTACAATGTCAATAGATGGCACGACCAGTTAAGATATTAAACATTTTAAACGGTAATTTTGTGTGAAACAATTATTTTGATGACTATAAAAAAGACTTCGAATTGTTTAAAAGTTATCTAAAGTTTAGAACAAAAAATAATTATTATGGAAATAATGAGTGATAAGGAAAAATTTTTTCTTTTTTCATTATCATACATTGGCAATAAATAGCACCACCAGTTAAGACATTTTTTTTTTGAATGTTGACAGCACTCTGTTTATAGTTTTTCTATGGTAATTTAGCGAAAAACAATAATTTTATTAAAAAAATACTTCAAATTGTTATTAAGTTACCTAAAGTTTGGGATGAGGCATTATTATGGAAATATTGAGTGATAACGAAGAATTTTCACTAACACCTCCAGAAATTACATAAAGGGCGACAAATGCAGGTAATAATATACTACCGGACAAGTCCAAGAAAATTTACGAAAAATTATATGGACATCAATTTATGGATTGGAGAAACACCAAAAACACATCGTCCTTCTCAGAAAATGTTTTGATAGTATATTTTGAAGAATTACAACAAAAAATGAAACCTGCAACTGTATGGACGCATTACTGAAATATAAAATCTCTATTCAAAGTTAAGCATAATGTTGACATATCTAAAAATCATAAGTTTCATCAATGGCAGTAGAAAAAATAGTGTATGCAACTCTCATGTAATGGACATTAATACACTCGCATGTTATATACGAAACTCGCCTGCGGCTCGTTTCGTATCCTACAACATGCTCGTGTATTAATGGCTATCATTACATGATCATTGCATAATATACTAATTTTCCTAAACTCATGTCAAAATTTAACTCACAACTCCAAACCTGAAAACAGTAGTTGCTTATTATTGAATAAAAAAAGCTTTGACTTTAAGCCAATAAAACCTGAACAGATGGAAAACATCCTCAAAGGCCTAAAAACAAAAAATCAGTTGGTACTGATGAAATTCCAGTGACTCTACTAAAGCAGACTTCAAACATAATTTCAAAACCACTTGCCTATATAATAAACCTCAGCTTTGAAACGGGTAAATTTCCATCTGCCTTAAAGTTTGCAATTGTCAAGCCTTTGTATAAAAATAAAGGTGGAAAAAAATGACCTGAAAAACTATCGCCCAATTTCGGTTTTAAACAACATCAGCATATTTGAAAAAATAATGCATCAACAAATGACAAATATATTGGAAAGTGAGCACATCCTTTCAGATCAGCAAAACGGATTTCGAAAGGGTAAATCAACGATCAATCAAACAACTAAAAAAATAATTGACACATTGAACAGGAAACAAACAGCCGCAGCGCTATGGCTCTGCGTCTGATTGAATCCTTTCAAGAAGGCAGATGGCAATGCACAGAGGAGCTAGGAAAAGATGGACAAAAAGTAAGATCAGAATTTGAACTAATCAGCAGGGGCGTCCCTCAGGGAGCTGTCTTATCTCCTCTGCTCTATATTATATACACCAATGACATAACGAATATTATACATAACGACAACATAGTACTATTCGCTGACGACAAAACTGTTCTATATGATGAACAAAATATACAAGCGATAGAAAGAGGCATTATACACGAGACTTGGATAGATTGACAGAATGGTTCGAATCAAACAACTTAACACTTAATATAAATAAAACACAACTGATTGACTTTACACCCAAAAACACAGAAAAATTGTGTGTAATATATGGAGGGACGGAGCTAGGGGCTCAAGACAGCGTCATGTTTTTGGGTGTTGTCTTGGACAAAAAATTGTGCTGGGAATCTCATATAGACAAACTTGCGTCAAAATTAGGTCAATATTGATATGCTCTTAGAATTATCAGAGACACAGTGTGTCTGTCTGCTTCTCTGACTTCCTATCATGCTTTTGTGCAATCACTTGTAAGATATGGTGTCATTTTCTGGGGTAACTCTACATACACCGAGAGAATACTTGTCCTTTTGAAATCTTTGTTCCAAATAACTCTTAAACCACTCTAATACTTTACCTGTAATGCCCTATTTATTCAATTTTTGTAATAGTAAATCAATGTTAACAGTTTCGAAGGCCCTGCTAAAATCTAGGAAAACTACACCAATTACTTTTTTATTATTTATCTGAGATCTCCAAGAGGATTTCAAAAACTGCAAAGCTGTTTCACACGAATGAGCCTGCCTATAGCCTGATTGTTCACTAATCAAAATATTATTTAAATTAATATAATGCATCAACTGATCTTTTACTAGTAATTCCAGAGCTTTTTCATAAACAGGTAATGTATTAATGGGCCTATGTTCTGTGCAAAGAATAGTTTTTGGTACTTTTTCTATTGGAATCACGGTTGAGCACTTCCACGCATCCGGAACGACACCCCGTGACAAGGACATGTTTATCAGTTCTAAAAAATATTCACCAACTGCCTCAATGGCCAGTTTAAATGACTTCAAATCAATGCCGTCCTCATCACTGGATCCCTTTCCCATGCCTGACATTGCATTAACATACAGCGGTCAGTCAAGAGAAACTTCGGACAAGGAGTAAGGACCTAGGGTATCTTGTTAAAGGTGTCGAGATAACTTGGGTAATGCAACGAATTTACTAAAGCTGAAAATCGTTATACATATTATATATAACATATAAATAACAGTAATGTTAGTCAGTCAGTTGAATAGCGAGACCGTGCTGGTCAGTCGTCAGTCAGCCCCAATAAATGTAAAAATCTACAAGAAATATTAATATTACTGAACAAACCTATTAGTTTATACTTACACCTACAATTTTGAATTGTCACTGTCACGCTGTCACTCTAGCAAAAAAAATAGACCTATTATTTTTTTTACATAAATTGGGGCTGAACTACCTCAATGGGGCCGACTGACCAGCCCAGTTCCGCTATTCAACTGACTGACTAACATCACTGTTATTTATGTGTAATATTTAATATGTATAACGATTTTCAGCCTTAGTAAATTGGTTGAATTACCTATAGTCTGGCTAGTGGTAACTTGGTAGAGACAAAAGGGAGAAGAAAAATGGGGCGTAACCTGAACATATTCACTGACACCTCGACTGACACCGGCTGATGACAGCCATGTCTTTGGGTTCAGTGGCACCGAAAACACCAAGGAAATAAACCAATAAAATTATTAGAAAAAAAATTACTTAGTTTCTAATAGCCACGCCACTGCTCGCTGTCGTTCAGGCTCTAACCAATAGAATCATGCCTCTGAATAATCACGCCTCTCCACGTCTATCATTTCGCAATGTTGCCGGATTTTTTTCTATTTCGACCTTTTTTTAAAGTACCTACTACACTTGCTCATATAGCAAAAAAAAATATGGCACCAACTTGTTTATTATTGTTTCCGTCAAGTTTGGCAAAGCAGCAAATTCTATTGCAGTTCGCCATTTCGCTAGCCAGACTATAAGTTATCTCGACAACTTTAACAAGACACCCTAGGTCCTTCCTTGTCCCAAGTTTCGCTTGACTGACCGCAATATGTTTATGTACGTAAATACTGTAATCAACTGTCCAAAAACTGGCTTTAGTAAATTCAGAGAATTTTTTCGGCACTGTCTATTGGAATTTTGGAGAAAAAATAAATAAAAATTTTCTTCTGCTCTGCAAAACTGTTGAAGCTGCATTTAAACTATCAACTAAAGATTTGTAGAAAATTCAACTGGCCTTAATTACAGCCTAATTACGAAGATCAAATTGAAATTCTCAAATTAACAAAGTAGTGAGGCAATTTATTTATCAATGGAAAATAATAAATAATAAAATCTACTGTAACTTACTCAATAACGCTCAAAGGATAATCATCTGGCACGAAGATTTTCCCAGTTAAGTAATACTCTCCATTATAAACCTTCAAAGCTATCGCCGAACTCTTTTGCTTCAACTTCAGCTCATCTTGAGGACCAAGAGCCTTTCTCACTCTATTTATTTCATCGTAGCAACAAACCAGGGAGTTCTCATCGATAAACTTACGAAGAAATTTGATTACATGCAACACTTGGGCTTTGCCCAACAGATTTTTCACCTCTTGTTCGCAAACATTAGTCAAGCTCAGCAACAACTTCTCGGATAAGGTTTTGCTCTTCAGCTCGATCAATAAAGGAGCTTTAGGATATTCCTCAGGAAATTGAGCACAAAATACGAGGGTTTTAAAGGCGGTCCTTTTTATTTCTGCCCTGACCATTGTCGGGACACACGAGACGAGTTTCGAGCCGGGAACGACGTGCTCGCAAAGTTTTTTAACTTCGTAGAGTTCATCTTCGACAAAGCCCATAAAGATTTTACACACAAAAAAATTGATTTTAACAAAATTCTAATGGAAATTAAAGGGACATTTGGAAGGGGAATAATTATTAGTTATTAGGGAAATTTCAAATTAAAACTTTACAATTAACAAAATTACAAAATACGAATAATTTGAATTATTTACTTGTTGTTGTTTTAACTGTCAATAGTTTGACAACGTCAACAAATATCAATGTTGCCGTTTTTAGTGAAAAGTGCATTGATTTGGCATTTGGCAAAATGCCAAGATGCGGGATTCTATTTTACGAGTCGAGTCGAAATTCGTATCGAATTGTTAAAATAGCGATTCTATTTTTCGATACATATAAAGCCTAGTACTCATAACTGCGAAATTCGCATTTTTTTGACATTGCGTTGATAATTTGACGTTTTATGCGTGTATCAGACGTCAAATTGTCGAAGCAATGTCAAAAAAATGCGAATTTCGCAGTTATGAGTACTAGGCTAAAAGCCTAGTACCACAGCCCCCATAACTGCGAAATTCGCATTTTTCTGACATTGCGTTGACAATCTGACGTTTTATGCGTGTATCAAACATCAAATTGTCGAAGCAATAGTTGTATTCCTTTCACACCTAGAAAGAGCCCCGGAACAGCTCCGGGGTTTCACGCGCTTATTCCTTTCGAAAAGTTTTTGTTGCACCACGCATATGTTCCCTGCAAATCGGGGGCGACTAAGCACCGAAGCGAGTAGCTCGAGTGTTTCAGCTCTTGAAAGGAATACAACTGTCAAAAAAATGCGAATTTCGCAGTTATGAGTACTAGGCTTTACACGGTACGTCCGGAGCTGTTGTATTCGATATCGAGACAATTCGACTCGACTCGTAAAATAGAATCCGGGGGTTTATCTTAAAAATTAAGATGTAAGATATCGATATATTTATTTCGCAATATCAATTTATTATTTAGGAATTCGAGAACTATCGATAGTTTGATTTTCGATTATCGATAAAAATTGATAGTTTTCCATAGTATGGGAATATTTTTTAAATTTATTTCAAATGGAAATGACTAGTTAGTTGAGATGTAGAGGGCGCTTCTGTACTGAGTATAATTTTAAATAGGCTGATTGGAAAATAAAATTTTGAGTTTTTAGTAATTCTACTCTGACTGTTCCAAGTGCCCTGACTTTTTTTAATCTGTTCAACTGCCCGAACCACTTTGAGTGTTCTAATTTTATTCCATTCGCACTAACGCGTTTTAAATTACTCTAAGCATTCCATCTGCATTAATTCTATTTGAATTACGTCTATCGTTCGAGCTATTGTAAGTGTTCCAATTGCTTCAATTTCAGTTCCATTCGCACTAACTCTGTACTGTTTACACTGCTCCGATTGTTACTGTTCGAATTACTTCAATATGCTACTAAACAATGACTTTATTTAGTATAACAATAGGCTGATTAGAAAATTTATTTTGGGTTTTCAGTAATTCTACTCTGACTGTTCGAAGTACAACGACTCTTTTTGATCTGTTCAACTGTCCGACATACCTACCTACTTTGATTGTTTTAATTCTGTTTTATTTGCACTAGTTTGATTTAAATTCCATCTGCATAAATTCTACTTGAATTACTTCTTTAAAAAAAAAAAAAAATCGAGTTACTTTAGGTGCTCCAATTATTTAATTCCTGTTTCATCTGCACTAACTCTGTTCTGTTTGCACTGTTCTGATTGCTACTGTTCCAACTACTGTAATATGCTACTAAACAATGAATTTAGTTACTATAAAAATAGGCTGATTTGAAAATTTATTTTGGGTTGTCAGTAATTCTACTCTGACTGTTTCAAGTGCACTGACTCTTTTTGATCTATTCAACTGTCCGAACTACTTTGACTCTTTTAATTCTATTCCATTAGTACTAACTACTGTACTAACTCGATTTAAATTACTCTAAGTATTCCATCTGCAAAAATTCTAAATATTTAAATTCCTTCTATTGTTCGAGTTATTCTAAGTGTTCCAATTGTTTCAATTTCTGTTCCATCTTCACTAACTTTGTTCTGTTTGCACTGCTCTGATTGTTATTGTTCGAATTACTTTAATATGCTACTAAACAATGAATTTATTCACTATAACAGTAGCTGATTTGAAAATTAATTTTGGGTTTTCGGTAATTCTACTCTGACTCTGATGAGTGCACTGACACTTTTTGATCTATTCAACTGTCCAAACTACCTTGACTGTTCTAGTTCTTTTCCATTTGCACTTAATTAACTTAATTTAAATTACTCTTGAGCATTTCAGTGTAGAGTTTTAGAGGACGCTTTTGTACTTGGAGTTTTTCAAATTTTGACGCGTGAATAACCTTCGAAAGCATAAACCACACGTCAAACTAAACTTTGGAGGTTAAAATTATGATCGATTATTCACATGACTCCATTGAGATAGAATAATACTTCAATAGTTACGCGCCACCACAATTTAAAAAGCTCCAAGTACAGAAGCGTTCTCTACAACGCAACTGTCAATATTACATGCCATTTAGAGCTGGGTGCTATTCAGCACGGAGTTGGAGTGGAGTAAGAACAGTTTTTTTGTCACGTGATCTAGGAGTGACTGCAACAGTGAAGACTTTAAAAACGAAAGAATCGGTGGAGAACTATTTAAAACTGTCGATAGTATACTACTATCGAACATCGAACTTAAATTCATTTTATTAAACCACTAGCTAATGACCCGCTGCGTTGCCAGCGTGAAAATACATTTTGAAATAATACACTTTTTTTTCAAATTTTGTTGTTGATTTTCTATTTATTTATTTTTTTTATCCGATACCAGAGTCGCTTGCCAGTGAGTTCAGTGACGCATTTTAAACACTCCACAGCTGCTCTAGAGCACCCCGGGCTGTTTATAGGCGTTCCAGTGTATCAGAGTTTCGCGCAACAGAACTTTTTTTTTCGGGATAAAAAATAGCCTATATCACTCTCCCCTTAATTTTTATATATATAGATTAGAGCGAATAGTGCTGATCAATTTTCTATTTGGGCCGGATTCTCAATAGCGAGTCACCTCCGGATTGGCTTAGGTTAATTTTGACTCCAGTGTAACACTCAGTGCTAAAAATAATTACTTTTACCACCAGTGTCATAAAATGGCATTTTAGTCACTGACAGCGTCCGTTAAATGACACTTTTAGTGACGTTTGTAGAAAAAATGAATTTTGAGTTTGATGTTCGTATACTACTATCGACTACTACTGTCGACTACTGGTATACTATCGACAATTTTAGATAGTTTTCCGCCGATTCTTTCGTTTTTAGAGTTGAGGAACAGAAAACAGATTTTAGATAAGGAATACGCAACTAGACTACTGTCCGCTGGCCTGGTCCCTAAAGGTACGGTTTGTTAGGATAGTACGCGACGCACAACTGACAACGTAAACGTCGTCATTGGTTCAGGTATGACGTTCACCCGTCTTCTGACGCTGTCGCTGACGTCAGGTAACGGGTGTACGTCATACCTGAACCAATGACGACGTTTACGTTGTCAGTTGTGCGTCGCGTACTATCCTAACAAACCGTACCTTTAAGGTACTATCCTAACAAACCGTACCTTTAAGGTACGGTTTGTTGGGAGAGTACGCGTCGCACAACTGACAACGTAAACGTCGTCATTGGTTCAGGTATGACCATGGTCACCATAGGTATGACGTACACCCGTTTTCTCACGTCAGAAGACGGGTGTACGTCATACCTGAACCAATGACGACGTTTACGTTGTCAATTATGCGTCGCGTATTATCCTAACAAACCGTACCTTTAGAAAACGTGTCGCGTGTCTGTAACTATTCATTTTCAATTTATGCAAGTTCCTATTATTTTGTTAATTTTTATGTATTTTTGTTTGTTTATAACATTTTTTATAACATAATGTGCAATGTTTATGTATTTAACCAAAATCGTTTCATGCTGTAAACAACACAGATAAAGAAGTAAATTAAAACCTAAGAAATTATGTGCTGTCTTTTTGTGCTGAGATTTTGATTTTGTGTATTCAGAGCGTGCATTAGGGCCTTGTTGAATTTACTAAGATTTTCCGACCCTGACGAGAGAATATCCTAGCAAATTGAGAAAAATCAATCTAGAGATATTGGCTCAAAAACAACTATAGCTGGGTAGCATCCCGTATGGGACCTCAGTACCTTCCGGCGGACCGGCTAACTAACCAAAAACTCTTCAGTATTGAATATAGGTAGTGTTGATTGAATCTAGTGTGTGTAATTGAAATTTTAGCACAAGAACAAGGGGCGGTACCTAATTTAAACTTTCATTGACTTAAATTAGTGAATTATTGACTCACAATTATTATTAAAATGACACAGTATGTTTCGATTTTTGAGGAATGTTCGATCGAGGTTTTCTCTGCCGTTCTCTTTCCCCTCGAGAACTCTAGGTCGAGAACGGTACGATTTACTTTAATAATAAAGTAGACGTTTCACAAATTTTTCGTTTCTTTTACATATCAGAACTTCCCTTAAATTTCCCAAATATTTGCTATGTCGGGCGCATGTCCAGTAAGTAAAATTGAGTAAGTTTCCACAACGTAGGTCCTATTTGTTCTTCATTTCGTTTTTCGGAAGATTTGTTATTTAAAGGTAATAAAAATTCTCATCGTTGAATCTTACTGAGTGAACCTGGGTATGTTATACTACAGAGTCTTAACATTTAAAGTCTTGTCGAAATTACTACAAATACAAAAAACGATAAAAGGACTCATCTCAGTCATCTCATTCAATTTTATCTTAAAAATTATGCTGTAAGATATCGATATATTTATTTCGCGATATCGATGTATGTATTTATTTCGATATATCCATATGTCAAATTTTCAAATACAATGAATTATTATTTTAACAAATAACTCGAAAATTTCATATTTTATTCAAAACTCCCTATAAAACTTAACCCATGTATGTAACTATATTTTATCCTAAAAATTAAGATATAAGTGGTGAATTTTTTAATTATATATCTCAAAAAAATGTTATGAAAATCTCATATTTCTTATATATCTTCAAAATTAAGAGTTAATCGTTCTGAAAATATCCTTTCTTTATTATCTAGAAAATTAAGTCATAAGTAATACGTTATTGAAATATCTCAAAACCTCAAAAACTCGCGCATCAAAAAATCGCCGGGTATATCACAGACGATGA